CCATTGCTTTCAGGGCGTATATAATCAATTCCAGCAGCCCTTTCACCTTCTAAGTTTTTCACAGCCTATTTGATTTCATTAACAGAAACAGTAAGATCTGTTACCTGCTGCACTACAGGCGCGTCTTCTTGCGGTTGCTTGGGGTAAGGAGTTCCTCAAAGTACTCCTTCCATCGCCGAAGAATGTCATCATCCTCGGTAGGAGGGTGTCCAAACCTGTCCTTCAAGACTCTGAGACTGCTCTTCTTTTCACCTCGGATCCGGCGGATGATCTGCCAGGATACTTTGTTTACCGTGTGGAAATTCGACTCCAACACCTCACCGAACTTCTCCCAGGAATCAGTCTTGGCTTTTGCCACTGCTATGGCTGCCGCCTTCCGTGTCTCGACATATCGCACGCGAGTAGATGGCTCCTTGTTTCCAAGCGATTTCTTGAACGCTGCTTCCTTCTCTTTAACTGCTAGTTGTACCTCTCGTATCCACCATGAAGATCTTTTCTGACCTTCAGGCGGCAGGCCAACCCGTTTAAATCAGCAGCATTTGGCGACAGCCTCGAGTATGCCGCTTTTAAAGAGCTGACACTCGGTTTCCACATCAGTTGTCATCACCCGAATCATCCGTTCAAACCGTCGTGCGATGTTGCTTGCAAACTTCGCTCTCTGTTTCCCGCTTGAGTTTCTGGTAGCCTCTGCCACGAGATCTTCCCATGGTACTTTATTTCTCACAGCGTAGCGTGCCAATAACAAGGTAGTGATCGGTTGATAGCTGTGCGCCGCTTTAAACGCGAAGATCCATTACAGTGTCAGAAAAAACGATCATGAAATCGATCATGGACTGCATAAGCTAAACTAACCTATACCAATTATATTAAAGCACGTTTCGATGCTCGAAGGAGTTCAAACAGACAGTCCGCTGCGTGCACAAAGCTGCAGCAGCTTCATGCCGTTAATGTTGAGGTCGCTAGAACCGTTCCTTCCAATGACGCTCTTCCACGTTTCAGCATCTGTGAGCATCTTTTCAGCAATAAGCATACTCCGATGTGCGGATTAAAATCGCCCATGAGTATGAGGGCCTCTGGATTCGGCACTTCGTACAGAGTACACTCCACTTACTCAAGAAAGGAGTCATATTCTCCTTCGAAGTTGGACGCACAGACATGCATCAAGGCCAATAATTTAGCCTGTGGTAGGTTCAGTCGGAGGATTGTTACACTTCCGCTGATGGGCTTCCATTCAATGATTCTACCAACCAGGTTGAGTTCTACCAGAACATCAACACCGACCTGGACGCGCGTCGTGATATCGACACTTGAGTAGATAAGTTTCCACTCGCAAAGGTTCATGATT